AGCAACGGAGTCGCTACCCGTTCTGAACGGAGGAGGCAGACAGCGCGATGCCATTATAGCACGTCAGAAAGGGACACACGAGAACGACACTGCCAGTGGGAGCTTACAGTCGGAAATTGGAATATATCCTCACTCAGAGGGAAACAGCTAGACTTAATAAAGTGCCAACTCGACGTTGTTGGTCCCTCGTCAACGAAGCGCCAAGGTTCTGGAATCCTAAAGCTGTGCGGGTGGAAGCTATGCTACTCAGGTGTCGATATCACGACACTCGCTCAGGCCGGTGTTGGTGTTTTGATAGAACTGAACCTCGTAGAGAGAATCATTGATTGGATCATGTTACGAAGCGTAACGCCTGTGACTCATCCCAGAAAATCCATTTCAACTGCTTGTTCCCGCAATCGAAGTTGTTTTAGTCATGGTCCAGTACTCATGAACTTAGGTAAGCAAGAGACTGGAGATGGACTTGAACACCGAGTGCTTAGACTAGTCTGGTTGAGGCCAGTTCACGCAGAACACTGCTAGCTACTCCAAAATTCCACCGGTCGAACTCTGCCACAAATTTTCTATCTCTGAACACGATTCCGAGGTACTTGAACTTTGTTGTATCTCCATTTATATGAGGAGTACAACGGGTAGAAGAACTAGAAAGCACAACGCTTTTCGTTTTAGATACGTTCACACGCACGCTGACCTCGTGGAACGCGGCTGCGAACCTTTCCAGCGGGCGTTGTAGATCAGTTTCAGAAAATATCCGCCGAATAAGCTCGTCTGGAAACAGCAACCTTCTCGTCTCGACATCTCCTACAGAAATAACCTAGTTGCCTAGGCTGCGTCTGATTTCTATCCATATACAATGCAAACAAGACAGGGGACAACGTAGCCTTGCGGAGACCAGTACCAGCCCTGGAAAGTCTCGATTTAACAACGTTTACTCTGACGCTGCGCATGCTTTCAACATATAGGGATTGGAAGGCCCATAGCAACTGGCTTTCGATCCAATGTGTTCGCAGGTACTCACGTAGATTGTTTCGCTGGATCCAGTCATGGGATTTCTCCTTGTCCTCTGAGTGCATGCAAACCGGATGAGCGAATTCCCAGTTTTTCAGTGACCTGACGTAGAGTGAATGTCTTGTCAGATATGCTTCGGCCAGATCGGAAGCTACGCTCCCTCATGTTTTCGAGTCTGTTGCGCCTCTTCACCTGCTTTATAGAGCTTTGCGTAAGCTTCACTCGGACGGCCTACCAAGGTAATGCCCCGATAATTGGAGCAGTCCCTATGGTCTCTCTTATTGAACTGGGTAAGTACAAGCTCCGTTGTTCAATCCAGGGGTGTCTTCTCCGTGCGTATTGCAGAGTGACGGACATGGTAAGTTAGCGCGTGGCCCGTTTGCCTAATGCTTTAAGCATTTCAAAACAGATTAATCCATTCCAGCAGACTTTCCACTTTTCCACCTTTTCACAGCTTGCGTGATTTCGTTTACAGAAATACTAATGTCTCTTCCCTGCTGCTATACAGGCTAGTCCCTCCAGTTGCTCGAAGTTTAGAGGAGTTCCTCAAGGTACCTCCTTCGCTGAGGAATGTTTTTATCCTCAGTAAGCTAGTGTTCGTTAACGACTTTTAGGCTGACCTTCTTTTCGCCTCAGAGCCAGCGGATGGTCTGCCAGGATACCTTATTTTCCGTCTGGAAACTCGTGTTCAATACCTCACCGTACTTCTCTGAGGAATCAGCCTTGGTTTTCTCCACTGCTTTTGTTGTCGCCTTGCGTGTTTTTACATGTCGTATGCGTGTTGAAGGTTCTTCGCTTCCATACCATTTCCTGAATGCAACCTTCTTCTCGATGACAGTCGGTTGTCCGTCTTGTGTTTGTCAGGAGGTTCGTTTCTGACCTCTGAAGGGGGGCAGGTCAACTCGTTTGAAACCGCAGCATTCGGCGTCAGTCCCGAGTCAGCCGCTCTTAAGCAGCTTGCACTCAGTTTGCACATCTATCATCACCGGCATCTGTTCAAACCGTCGAAGATAATTTTTCTCATTTGATTCTCTGTTTGGTTCTACGATCAGATCGTTCTTCATCTCTCACAGCGTAGAGTACCAATAGCAAGATGAACACTGACTTTTCGCAGCCTGTCTCTTACACAGCGTGTGTTTTTCCGTGTAACCTTGGCGATGATCGAATCTCTATAACGTTAGATGACGACAATACCATGAGCGGCAGGTAGCTGCGTTTTAAGGAGACCTCATCACGGTCTGCAACCGTTCTTCTTTCTCGTACTGGCTTGAGACCAGCAAAGGTGGGGTTTTATTCCGTATCTGTGGTGTAAAGATTTGTGTTCATTGATATTGACGTGCTAAAAATGGATTGTCCCTGAAAGGAAAACTACACTTCTCTTTTCAGGATAATTGTTTTAGTGTTTAACTGCTAAGTGACATCGTAAGTTTAGCTGCTGGTTGAAACTGTAATCGACCAATTCTGTTTTCAAAATTGTGGTTGTGTTTGAAAGCGTAGAACGTTTTTGTTTTAAGTCTGTAATTGATTGAAATTTAGATTGAAGAAGTTGCATCTGCTGGTCAAATGCAGTTTGGACAAGCTGATTATACTACAGAGGTTAGTACGTAATGTCTTCTTCATTGGTGCATTTCTTCCGTAACCTTGTTCGACTCATTGTACTTTTACAATCGTATGAGGTATTTGTTAATAGCTGTCTGTTTTTTTATGTAACGGGACGCTTTTCGGCCATAGTAGGTTGGCAGATGTCGTTTAACCGGTGGTGCCTTGAGTTTGTGATAAGGGAGCTGTTAGATCCATTCGTCATTCTGGCCGAATGACGTAAAAGAATTCAGATTCAGCCTGTCTCGTTTTGTCATTTCTCGGCTACTCAACTAGTCCATTTAATTGTGTGCCAATTCGTGATCATTGAGATTCTGATGAATACTCATCTCCAGACTGAATCGCGACTGTTTCATCAGTCGTTGGCTTGAGGATTCATGATTCATAACGGTTTTTATGGACCGTGACGGTGTAGAAGATGATAATCTGCCATTATTCTTGCAAGCAGGAATTCCCTTATTTTGTCTTTGTTTTGTGTGCTCCACACAAAACGTACAATGGGTTTTGAGAAACACTGCAAAGGAGTTATCCTGTCGTCATAGTTACTTGAATTAATTAAATATCGCCCTTCGGATGCTTTATCGTGTTAAGATTGTTATTTTCAGGCAAGTACCCCCAATCTGTTGGTTGAAGTAACTAGTAACGAGAAGGCGATCCACATGGATTTTTTTAATGGTACGTACTCAGGTCATTGATCTTTTTCTGATGTTCAGTTTCAGGTTTTGGTGATCTCTTTGACGACGATCTGCTCGATTAGACGTTTTCAGTGCGTCAGTCTCAGTCGATTGTAAGATGGTTTGTAATCTGATGATTTCTCGAGCTATTTTGTCCGCTGTTATGCAAGCCAGAGTTTTATCGCTGCGCGCCGTTGCTCGACTCAGTGAATATTCGGCTAAGGTCAGTCTCAGCGGCCGAACTCTAGTAATAGAAGCAGGCCGCCTAGCACGTTTGGCGGACGGCTGCGCAGTGGCGAAGTTCGGCGAAACTGCGGTGATGGTAACGGCGGTGAGTAAAGCGATCACGTCCTTGCCGGTGCCATCATTCATGCCGCTGACAGTGAACTTTCAAAACAAGGCAGCTGCTGTCGGCAGAATCCCGAGCAACTTTTTGCGCCGAGAGATCGGCTTGAGTGACGCAGAGATCCTCACGGCGCGCCTAATCGACCGTTCAATTCGCCCGTTCTTCCCCAAAGAGAACGCTAGCGACTGTCAGGTAATTTCTGATATGCACTCTTAAAGGGATATAAAAAATTAAGAATGTAATTCGCTTTTGTTCTTTTCGATGTGATATCGATTTGCTTCGCTGGTTGTGTCAGCGTTGATTTTGTGTTCTTTGCCCTGCTTCTTAACCATAATGTGTAACAGACGAAATAAATTCTTATTGAAGGGCTATTTGACCATGGGCTTGTAATTTAATAATTATTTTAGCTAATTTGTTGATCCATGGTTGAGGGTGCCAGTCCCAACAAAGTCTATGGAGGGTAAAACTTTTATTGGCTTCGCGTTTTGCTGGCACGCTGATAGAATCTCCTCAGCACCATTCGCGGTACCAATGTGTTAGCATGCGGCGTCATATGTTTTACTATCTGCTGGCGTTGTTTCTTTGTCTCCTGCCGTCGTGAATCAACAGATTAACCGCAGCCTCCAACAATTGGCTCATAATCACATACTTCAGCTCTGAAATTTATAATCTGGAATCAGCTGCTGCTGTTTTGCGTCAGTACTGCCGTAGAGAAATTTCATGCGGCAGCTTCGCACCTCCCCGTGGCTTCTTAACGTCTAGAGGGGCCATTTGTGCGACCGCAGTGTTACCACATGTTTCTCTGCATTGAGCAGAATAAGGTGCATCACCACGACTCTTCAAAGTTGAGGTTCGAGTAACGTCAACAGAACACCGTTAAACGTAAATTCATCCCTGCGGCGCCATCACAGCAGTTATTAGTTAAGTGCACGTCAGGTAACCCATTTCAGTACGGCTTAATGATCCCGTAGAGTTTTGACGTTTTTCACATTTAGTCTGAAAACTCGCCGGATTTGATGTTTCGCTAGAATGTGTTTTAATCGCAGGTTTGTGTACGACTCTGTATGGCTGTTGAGTATACATATGAAAGCAGACATTCTTTTTGAACTTATATAAAGTACATAATTTGAAAGTGTTCCAATATCATATATTTGGTTTCTTAGTCTCTCTAACATAACTTTAGTTTTAATCTTCGCCCACAAATCGAACGACCAAGTAATGGTCCTCCTTTTCCTCGCTGTTTCGATTGTGTTGCATTGGTTCACAGATACATTCAGTTCAAATATGCCATTCCGAATTGTTGACCACATTAGAGATGATTTCTTCTTCTAGGCATTTATGGCTATTATTAGCTCGTAGAAACTTTTTCTCAACGACTGCAACAAAATATGAAGGATGAGTTGAATTGTGCGAAACGTTGTCCTATTCTCCATCTTCCACCGCCGCTTCCCCTTTCGATCGTACAGACAGACAGAGCTAACAACCTTCCCGATCCTATGCCAGAGTCTATGCTTCGGGAGAAGACAGCTGGAGTCTGGAACAGACCCCTTTCATATATCCGCACCACGTAGATCTTGGCCGTCAACTGGGCCTTCTGCCGGTCGGTTTGGCAAGAAACAGTTGCTTAGTATTCTATTCTGCAGGCATTCGCAACACATGCCCAAGCCATCGCAGCTGTGACTTCTCAGTCTGGAGAAGCAAAGGCTGTATT